CAGTAGAGCCACATCTTAATTTGATTACATCTGCAAAGACCCTATTTCCTAGTAAGACCACATTCCCAGGTATGGGGGTTTAAGATTCAGACATTTATTTGGAGAAGACACAACTCAACTGGGGCAACAGGAAAAACGTGTATAATCAAGACTCTCCTGGGAAATCAGGAGATCCAGCTACTGTATCTTTGCAGTTGCCAGCTTTAACCAAAGCTCAAGCTTATAACTCAAGAAGGGTCGGTCAATATGCCTACCAGAGGGAGGTTTGGTTTAAGCATTTGCATCTTCTGCAGTGCCTTCTCTGACTTCTCCCTACTTTGCGTGTGTTCTCTATAGTAGAAGGCAAAGCCCTGAACTGTCATGATATCATGTACATCTGTGTCTCCAACAGATCAGGAAGTCCCTGAGGACAGAGGGTGGGCATTTTCATCTTTGCCAAGCCCAGGAGCAAGCAAATAGTAGGCACATGGTAAACATGTATTAGATCCGTAGATGAGTGGTCAAGACTGTCCATTTTGAAGCATCAGTTTGAATTCGTTCTTATCTGCCTTTGCATCTTATCAGTACAAGCGCAACCCCAAATCAGAGAATTAAGTTCATTAATATTCATTATTCCAGCACCCCCACCACCATCCTTTTGTTTTCTGCAATAGCTTCTTAGCCTGCAGTCAAATGAGCTCAAGGAAAATGATGTGACTTGGCTTTGGAAATATATTCCTCTGGCTGCCAGAATGGATTTAGCAGACTCCGAGCTCAGTTCGTCACTCTTTCTACGACTGCCTCTGTGCACACAAAGGGCTTTGACAGTCCCTGAGTTATGAGGGGCCATTCCAAGGCTGTGATGGATTTGATTGTTTTATGCACTGACTTAAGATCTCATTTCCTGCCACATTCACAAGTGCTTTCTGGGCTGCTGCAGGGAACCCCTGGTGTTGGTTTTATACTTCCTTTACCACCATCCAGCTCAGAGTTCTGAGTTTTCTACTGGAGCAAAAGCTTCAAAAAGATCAAATGATTTAAGAGTTGCCATAGGTAGGTGCTGCACTGCTCAGCCAACCTTCCTATATTTTTTTCTTACTCTTGATTTTTGGGTTGAATCTCACTGAAATATTCTGCAAAAGATGTGAAATTGAGGAATAGGCAACTTTACTAGGCATAACAAGCTGAAATCCACAAACCACTGCAGATCAGTTTGCAAAAGGAAAATAACCTTCTCTGCTGGTGTACCATTTGAAGAAGGCAAATTCTTTGTAGTGGTCCTAATCTTTGGGGAATTGTTTGATTGTTTATATGACTGTTTCAGCATCTATCATATATTTCACCATCATGTAGGTAATCACTGTAATCAGTTTGGTAAAAGCAACACTTTCACCCAATTCAGAATTAATCACATGTATCTGCATCCAAATGATACCTCTCTTCTTAGCTGAAGTGTCTGAGTCAGCTTTGCTTACTGCTGAATTCATGAAACTGAGTTCAGGCCCTGGCCATAGTGATTTTTCTACATATACTTTGAGAAGAAATGGTTAGTGTCCCTAACTATAGAGGTTAGCCACCGAAAGGAGAGAAAAGTTGAGAAGGCAAGGATGGGTGTCATGGAGTCATTCTCACAGTGGGGTCCCCAGAACAGCAGCATTGGTATCACGTGGGAATTTATTAGAAATGCAAAGTCTTAGTCCATGCCAAACCTAGTGAATCAGAAATTCTGGGGGCCAGGGCTCAGCCATGTGGGTGTTAATACACCTAAGTTTGAGAACTCCCAGTAGATGAAGATGTACACAAGGATGCAAGTCCATGTGCTGAGAGGAAGGAAGGTAGCTCTTAAATCTGCTTTAACAGCCTTGAGATAAGAGGATGCAAAATGTGCCATGGACATGAAGTTTTAGAACACACAGATGAGCTCTGATAGAGATGTGGGGACATACCATTCCACCTAGCATCCAGAGAAAAACAGCATTTTTTTTCTTTCTTTTTTTTTTTTTGAGATGGAGTGCAGTGGCATGATCTCAGCTCACTGCAACCTCCACCTCCCAGTACAATCAATTCTCCTGCCTCTGCCTCCTGGGTAGCTGGGACTACAGGTGCCCACTACAACGCGCGGCTTATTTTTTGTATTTCAGTAGAGACAAGGTTTCACCATGTTGGCCAGGATGGTCTCCATTGCCTGACCTCGTGATCTGCCCACCTTGGCCTCCCAAAGTGCTGGAATTACAGGCGTGGGCCACCATGCCTGGCCAAAAACATAGCTTTTAAGTGTCGCAAACATGATGAATCTATGAAAAGTAGAAAAAATATTGTGTAAAATAAGAGTTACGGGTCCACTTGTTTTGGGGTTATGGTAACAATTATTTTTATTCATCAATGGAAAACATTGAAACATCACCTACAACCCCATACAAAACCTTTTCCTACTCCTTCCATCACATTCCTTCTCTCCCCACCCCAAATAACCTTCATAGTCTGACAGTGGTGGTTGCTGGGAAAGAACTGAAAGAAAACAAGTAAATAATCTCAAAGTCCAAGACTTTGGTGAGATTGGAATGCACATTTATAAAGACAACCATTAACACACACGTGTGATTGTTCTTCAGGAGAACTTAGAGACAAGGGAATAGGAGCAGAGAGAGAACTGGCTGGGCTGGTTCAGAGCTGGAGATTGACAGGGTGGGTATGTGCAGCAGGCAAGACTCCAGGCCAGAGAGGGGAAGGAGATGGATGAGATGCTGAGATGATCTGGTCACAGACCTAGGCTAAGTGTTATTTGAACCAGAGGAGGAGATGGATGCCCTGGGAATTAGAGAAGAAACCTGGTACCAGGGCTCTCCAAAATTTGAAGTACGTGTTATCTGAGCCTGGGGAAGCACTGGCAGGGAGGTCAGAGCCGGTCCACCTGAGTGCATTCTCTATGACTTCCTTCAAAATGTGTTCCAGAGTCATTTACTGTGTGTCTCTTTGATGCCAGGCCCTGTGTCAGCAACTGACAAATATACTGCTGTATCACTTACCAATAGTGTGGCTAGTTTAGCTGTCTTACCAAGACAGAGTTAGCTTGTAGTCAACTCTCTCTACACCCGGGAGAACTTCATGATAGCTTCTGACAGCCTTAGTGTCTCTCACTAGTGCTGATTACCAGGAAAGATGCTGAAATGGAAAAACATCTTCCCCTGGCCTGGTCTGGGTAGCTGGTAATGCCCCACCTGGGCCTCTCTTGGTCACAGTGGCATGCCCCAGCTTGCCTGTATTTAGCTTGTACCTGCATTTGGTGATTCCTGAGCTCTGGTATTGTGCCCAAGAAGAATGGGGATATGCTGGACATTGAGGGATGAGGAGGGCAGAGAAGAAATTTATTGAGTGACAGAACAGCTCTCAGTGGAGAGGAGATGTGGGGCAGGGGTGGGAGTGGTTGCCCACCCCAAAAGTAGGTTGGTTCTCTCTTCTCTGTATAGCTGGGTCCAGGGCTTTATGGGCTCAGAAGAGGGATGAGATAGGCAATAGGTAGTACTGAAAAGGCAACCTTCCATTGGTTAAAAGGCATTCTTCAGAATCATTCAGGGAAGAGCAGGCAAACAGGAACAGAAGTCCTTGCTCTGGGTTGCAGGTTTCCTCCAGGACCAGCAATCCAGTCTTTTAGCCTTCAGGCTGTTTTTTTGTCTTGAAGGTGGAGTTTCACTGGAGACCCACCCCGACCTGCGTAGGCATTTGGCTGCCTCCTGTAGCCATCATTATCCTTAATAAGGAAAAGATAATCACACACAATCTCTAAGCTACAGCTGTCCACACTTCACAGACCCCCATCCCTACTCCCCATCCCCTTCATTGCCTACCCCTCCCCCCCACCCAGCTCTTTGCTCTGCCTGGTCTATAGAAATGTCCTCCTCTTTCCAAGTCACATCCAGGACCAGGTGCCCTGGAGGGAGGAGCAGCACAAACTTTTCTGTGCTCAGGAGTGTGGCTGAGAGAATGAGTCAGGACATTTCTAGAATAAGTTCTAACCAGCTCCAGCCATCCCCCTAGGAAGAAGGTCTGGGGAAGGCTGCCCACAGTCATATCCTCAGCACACCTTTAAATTGCCAGGGCAAACGCACTGTGACAATGAGCTCAGAGGCTTAGGGGTCCTTTCAGTCTCTGCACTTCGAGACCCTCATCCAATCCAACCTCTCTTCACATTGGCTGCCTAAGTTCTTCTTTTGGCTTATTACTCCTACTTAAGACCTTGGAACAGCTCTAAGGCTATTTCTCCATTTACTTATCTGTAAAATGGGGCTTGCCTAATGGCACACATCATAGATTCTATCATGGATCACAGATTCTAAGTTGTAAGAAATAGGTAAGTGGTATGTACACAAGGTTAAAAGCACTCCCCTCCTCCCCCTACCACCCCCACCACTCACACACAAAGCATTCGGTAGCATATAGTTACTGATTTTGCCCATCAAGACTTGGTGGTGCACTTTTGAGCTTCCTGCTTCATGATGTACACAGCAATACCGTAAGGAATTGTTTCTAGAAACTGGCCTGGGTCTCAATTATGTACAACTGTTATCCTCTAAGGTAAAGCATCCTTGATTTCTGGGGCATTACTGGTGATGCTCCCCCGCCCCCACTTCTATCTCTGTTCATGAAAGAAGATGGTTCTCCTAAGAATAAGAAAAGAAGGCTTCACAGAAATGTTTCCTTTGGAGCTGAATGCTTAGTGGAAAATTGTGGGAGGCAATTCCAGGTAGAGCAAACAGACTGTGTGGAGTGTTCTGAATAGCTGGGAAAGTGGATACTTGAACACGGGAGTGATAGGATGAGACCAAAACACTGGAATGTAGGGTAGCCTGGGATGCACAGAGAGGACAGGCTTTGGGCCATGAGAGCCAATGAATGGTGAATATATGCAAGAGGGAATTAGATTCGAACAAACACCATTCCTGCACTTAGGTATTGTCAGCAAATCAAAAAGCTACATTGTATTTAAGTATGTATTTTCATTGTTTTCCTCTGATCCTTTATAGCCACCCAGAAGTCTACAGTCCAGCTGACCTAAGCCAAATAGCTTCCTGAAGACACAAGTCCTGAGGTCACTCCGACAGGCCCCACCATGAGCTTGGGTGTCACCTCCTTCCAAGGCTTATTCTGATCCCCTGGAGCATACATTTTCATGAAGAAATGTGTAGTCTGCCAACTTCATTGTCATTTATCCCTGGACAATTTGTTAACTTCAAGAATCCTTGAGTGCCAACCTGGATGTCTTTATAATTGCTTTCTCTGTCAGAGCCTGTGTGAAAAATGTCACCGGTAGAATGAAGTCAGAAAGCGAAGTTGCAGCGTGTTCCTCACAAAGGTGACAACGACTGAAAGCATTACTTGCTTTCAGGACAGTTTTGAGAACGTTTCCAGCTCCTGAAAGAAAAGACGTTTGTAAAATTGGAAAAGCTAGCCTGCTGACATTGACAGCGAATTCATAATGCACATGTTAATCTACAGAGAGAAGCAGGCTCACGCGCCTCAGAGGAAAGCTCAGGCACCAGCTAGAAAATGCTTTAATCAAAGGCAGGAAAGTTGGAAGCCTTTACAAATCATAAAAACATGTTGTTTTTTTAATCTCTTGAATATACAAATGTAAATAAAATGAGCAACAAAGATCTCTTTCAACTAGCAAACCCCGCTACCTAATTCTACATTGGGGGGCAAATCCTTTTTGAGGGAGGTAGAGATTCAGTTTCATATTCTATATAGAGAGAATTGATATAAGTTATTCTGAAGACCCCACTAGTCTATGTCTGCTACAGAGATTACCTGCATTTATAGTTATCATCTCTTAAGAAGATCATTTTAGTGCAAACCCCCAATGCTACTTGAATAACCTTGGTGGTGGGGTCCTCACCATCTTCTAAAATAGGAGTTGACCAAGTACAGTCCATAAGCCAAACCCTGCCCTTGCCTGTTTTTGTAAGCTAAGTTTTACTAGCTCCCAGCCACATTAATTTGTTATTTACCTAGCACTTTACAGAAAGTTTACATGTGCTAAAACATCCTCTTGACTCTCCTGACCACTGGAAATCAGACAACCATTTCCTTACTAAAAACTGCTGTCTTTGATCAAAGAATCAAACCTCATAGAGATAAGGCGCTGGCATCTTATCTGTTCTTAGATGTGTGATTCTCCTTTACACACCTTGGGAACAGAAATGCCATTCTAGCAAACTTCTTCCTTGTACTTATCAGAAACTTGCCTATGGATAACTGTTGTCCCTTGGGCTCAGCCCTGCACCCTAGAGTTCCAGAGGTCAGTTTCTCTTCCACAAGGCAGCTCTCTGGATAATTAGCTGGTAAAGAATTGCAGGAGAAGCCATCCTGATTCCTCCAAGATTTTCTCCTGTGTTATGGCTTAGCATTTCTTCTCTTCTCCAGTAATCTGCCTCTGGAGATTTCTGCCTCTATAAGTTTCTCTGTGCCACTTATACTGTGGATACTAACCCTGAATACAAGGACACCAGTGTCCTAGGACTTCTGGACATTTTGTTCCAAAACTGGGTCCACATAGGGGCGACTTTGTACCACTGACATTAACACCACTCTGAATATTTTAGATGTGCACTGCTGATGTTAAGCTACGTCCTTTTCCGCTCCTAGAGTGTAGCTGGTTTTTAGATCAATGTATGATCCTTTGCATTTAAAATACAAAATTTAATCATTTACTTCAATCTACCCAGGTAGATTTGGATCTGAACATTGTACCTATTCTACCCGAATCAGTCTCAGAATTGTGTTGACATATATGCTTATTTCTCAATACTTATTCTTTCTACACTTGTTATTCATGCAGGACAATTAACAGATGTCTGAACTAACCGTATTTCCTTTTATTGTGCCCTATTCACAAGGGTCTTTCTTTTCCTACCCAGTGAATTTCTCTTGCCTGTCCTTCAGGCATCATATTCTCCAGAAAACCTTCCCCACCTCTTACAGGTAAGGTCACCAGCTCCTCTTATGTGTTGCTCTTCCCCTCGAGTTCACTCCCTGGCAGTGCTTACTGTGCTGTATGAACTTATTAATAGAAGGAATTGTGTCTTTTCATGTATTTCCAATTTCTGTCATGGTGTTTGCATATCATAGACACTAAGTGCATTTTATAAATTAATGAACAAATGAATGAAGGAGTGATGTGGCTGAGAAAAGCCTTAAAGCCCACTGTGAAGAATTTAATAATGAAGAGTATGAAGGGTTTTTAAGTGGGTTACAGGAATTATGTAGTATGAACTGTCGAATTTTAGAAGGAAAGTTAAAGCTGCTGTGCATGGAGGCTGAGTCTACTGAATGAACAGAGATTAGAGGTAATGAACTCAAAAGCAGGATGAGTGACGCCACATAGTAGCAATGGAGCTGGAGAAGGCAGAGCAGAACTAGAGTGACAGGCTGTGTGCAGGACAGGTAGGACTTGGTGATGAGTCTAACGAGGAGGGTGATGGCAACACATTCCTCCTGAACAACTCAATTCCAGCCAGAGTTAAGTTGCAATGTTAGTAAGTGATTAAAAATATACTTTTCTGCCTCTATCCATTCTGTAAACAAGTAGCTTACTCCTAACCCTGGCTGATAATTCAGAATCACCTCAAGTGCTTCTAAATAATGCAGATTCTGGGGCTTCACCTGAGACTCACTACATCAGAATCATTTTAAAGCTCCCAGGTGATTCAAATCACCTGCCATGCCAGTTTGGGAACTCCTGGCTCAAATGTCCACTTGGACTGAAATGTCCTTCACTTTGTTCTTCTAAGTTTAGGCAGTTGCCTTTGCCCTGATGGGCTGAAAGTGACTTCCTCTTTTACTAACCCTCTAATACCCCTTATCTTGAATGACTTATAAGATTAATTTCTCCCTTTTAGGGTGCTTATTTTCCTTGCACACATCTTATCTCCTCCTCTCTAGCATTTACAGAGTAACGATGGACAGTTTAAACTATCTGAATTCAGTATCCTCATCTGTAAAATGGAGATAATATGATCTCCTCCCTAGGGCTATTATAAAATATCAAGTGGAAAAGAAAGTAGTTCATGCATGAAACAGACCAGGTGCTGCTTAGATATTTGGACTCTCCATTTTAGCTAAATGGAAAACACATTTTAGAGCAGAAGCATGTCTTACTTAGGTAGACATCTTCTGTAACTGGATGAAGTCTAGTCTAGCAATCTATGCTTACCAGTTAATAAGGAGATATTAAACTAATGAAGAATAAACGAAGAACTAGGGAATGAATTGATCAATTGATGTAGAATAAATGGATGAATGAAATAATTGACCTATAGTAACATAAACTAATTTTTGATAAATGACTACATCTGTCTATAAATGACCAACTCGGATTATGTCTATGCTTAGGACAATTTAAAAATTCAGTTGCCTGCATTTCACCCTAGAGCCACAAATTGAAATACTTGGCAATTGAGGACCAAAAACCTGAACTGTAAAAGTTTCTCTCATTGATTCTGGCCACAGCCCATCTGGGAAAATCACTGCTTCAGAGAACCAGTAAGAGGCCATATTGCTTTGTTTAATGTAAAGAGATAGATTTTCTTGTTCTACAGTAGTTATTGAAAGTTTAATTCCAATTGATTGTTCAAAACATATCCATTAAAGTCCAACATCTGTTTAATAGGTATATCTTATTACACTCTTATACTTAGGGCCACAGTCAAGACCTGACATAACCAGAGACACAGTTTAAACAAACTAATTACATAAGGGCACACAGAGGCTGAGCTGAGCAAGGAGCCTCTGAACACAACATGTGCCTTTAATCAAAACCAGGTATCAGGCGAAAACAAGATACCCCAAGCTGGAGCCAGGCAGCACATTGATGCTTTAGCATATGTTTCTAGGGCCAGTCCAGCCCAGGAAGTCTCTCAGCAGCGCTGTTGCTCCCACATCACCACCTCAAAATCTGACATTTCTTAGACCAGGCTGAGTGCTTTGATTGACAGACAACAGGAGAAGGAAGGGATCTGGCAGACAAGTCCCTCTGCATGTATTTCTCAGAAACATGGGTGTTTGGGATTATTCTTAAGCATAGTTGTTTCTAAACTGATCTCCTGCATGGCTTAATGGCTGGTTCCAACTCTTCATGAAACAATAATCACATAGGTTTTGCTCCATCCTTCCCAGCCTCACTTTATTTTATTCTTCACTCTCACTGCGTTGGAATTACACCTTCCCATAAAACATTAGTGTTGGAACCTTGTTTCATGTTCTGTCTTGGGAGTATCCAGACTAAGAATCCAATATCCAGGCACTTTTCTGTGTGCATTTTATACATAATATAAACATATATTCTTTTGACTTCAATGTTTATATTCTTAACTACTACACTCAATTCTATTCCAAGTAGTGATAGAACTTTCCAGATACCATTAAAAATAGGGAGAATTGTTGGTAAAATTCTCCCAGCATGCTCACCTACATAATCTAAATCACATAGACTTGAATCAGCCTAGTTAAGCCTGGTCTGTAAGGAGGATGGCTTCTGTTCCATGTGCCCTGCTCATGTTAGCCAGGACTGCAGTTGTCAGGTGGAACCAGTTCCAAAAGGCACTTATTCACAGGCATGTCCTCCTGCCCTGCTCAACTAAGAGTTCTTAGAGGGAAAAATACATTGTATTTATCTTTGTCTTCCTGGGGCCCATTATAGATTAGTAAGTACCTGTCTTAGTCCATTCCTCCTGCTCTAAGAAAATACCTTAGACTAGCTACTGTATAAACAATAGAAATGTATCTCTTATAGTTCTACAGGCTAGAAAGTCCAAAATCAAGGAGCCAGCAGATTCACTGTCTAATGAAGGCTTGCCCTCGCTTCAAAAGATGTCACCTTGTTGCTGTCTCCTCACCTGGTGGAAAGGGCTAACATGTACCCTCAATCCCTTTTCTAAGGGCACTAATTTCACTCATGAAAAATGGAGCCCTTAAAACCTAACGCTCCTCAAAAGCCCAACCTCTTAATACCATTACCTTCTGGGTTAGATTTGAACATACACATTTTGGAAAGGCACAGTGTTCAGACCATATCATCACTGAATAAATATGTGAAGAATACATAAAATTAATATATATTATAATTAACATGTAATAGATATTATATAATATATATTACTTTATTGTACAAATTAAATATTAGAAAAGATACTTTAACTTTAGTGTTCATGCCTACAACTTGATAATTAGTTAAAAATAAATAAACCACAGAATAGAATTTTTTCCAAAGCAACAGAATTTAACTGTGGGCTCATGTAAGTATACCTACAAACGTTCTAATATTAACTGCTATCCCTTCAGTTGGCAAGAGCTGCCCTTCCTAGTCAGTCAGGGCACAGGTGAACATGGACATCATCCTGGTTTGCTGATCCTTTTCTGGGTAGCCCCTCTCACTTTGAAATGAAACTGCTTATGTCACTTATCAAAATCCTCATTAAAATATGCACCAGGTTCAGAGTCAGTTTTAAAATGTCTCTGAAGTACTTGAGAGTAAATGGCTTTGAAGTAGAGCAAGACCTCAAAAATCAACCACTGCCCCAAAACCCTTTAATGTGAAAGCATTTCTTGTATAGTGCTATGAAAACTGCCCCCTAGCTGAAGCTGTTCTAGGATTTTCTTCTAC